GGTGAATCTTTGGAGAAAGCAAAAGAATTATATTTTTTGAATTTCTTTAAATGATTTAATATCTCATATATATTTAAAAATAAATGATTCTTTTGAAACCATGATCAATAGACACAAGAAATAACTATTTACGTTGTTTAAAATATTTACAGTTCAAATATCAAACATACATTAGATATAGTTGTCGAAAATCGTCGGTCGTAACAACCAGTGGCGTAGCTAGCGGTCCCGCTACTCCCGCCCGGCAGGAGTAGAAATTTTCCAAAATATACTAAATATTCTATTTGGAGATTAGATAAATATTATTTCACAAACAATTTGTAATATTATGTTTCATTCGTTCATTTTCACGCTTTTATTCGGTGGTTCGTAATCGTAATACCGAAAAATCTCAAGATTTGTCTTGTAACCTACCACCAGCTTTTTCTCGCACATTTCAATGCATACTGGCGCGATTTCTCCACGTGTTCCGCCCATCTTCAGAGGGCGAAACATACAATACAATTCTATATGAGAATTTTTGATTTCTGGTTGACTAAGGGACTTGGCGCATGCTCAAATATCCTGTTTTTATAGTCGAGTTCCCGCTATTTTAAATTGGCGGAGGTTGTAATTATTCAACCTTCTAATATACGAGTACAGCGGTTAGTGATTATCAAATTACGTGTCATTGTCGGTATTAATTTTCCATTTTGTTTGCTCTCAAATTGCTATTTTGTATTTGTGTGTATGACACAATGGCTTCAAGTGCAACTGCGATTTGCTCAACTGATGTTGATATAGGAAATAGCTTATTAGCTAAACCGTACTCTGCTCGATCGTTAGTCGAACAGAATGTTATCGTTCACGAACGGCCTACTCCTAATTTAACAATCCAAAAAAAGGGACGAGCATTTCAAAGAAATTAGGAGGCGAAGGACTGGCTGTGTGGCTGTACAACCTTGCAGAAAGTGTTTTGTTGGCCATGTCTAATGTTTTCCCCGAAAACATCGCCATCATGGATTATGAATGGCCTCAACGATATGCGAAGTATTATGTCTGATGCTAAGAAGCATGAGAAAATCTAAATCGCATTTGACTGTTTTTAAGACATGGAAAACGTATGGAGCTAGTAAACGAATTGATTGTCTTATATTTCTCGCGAGAAGAAATGAAATTAAGCGTCACAATGACGAAGTAAGACAAAATCTAGAAATTTTAAAAACTGTGACTGAGGCATTGCTGTATTTGTCAAAGCAAGAGTTGCCATTTAGAGGACACAATGAGTCCGAAGGTAGCTTGAACAAAGGTAATTATAGAGAGTTGCTCGAATGTTTTGCTAAGTTTGATTCTGTATTTGAGCGTCGACTGCACAGTAGACTAGCAAAATCAGATATAATTGGTAACAGAAGATTTACTGGAGTCTCCCCAGAAATTCAAAATGACTTATCAGCTGTCTTGATTCAATTATTGAAGATGAAATCAGAAAGGAAATAAATGATTGCACATTTATGAGTATTCAGGATGATGAAACATCTGATGTGTCCACCAAAGAGCAGCTAAGTGTTATTGCTCGGTTTGACAAAGCAAGTAAATTTTTGACAGGCAATTAGGATTTATGTATGTAAGTATGAACAAAAATGCCACAGCAGTATCACAAGTTGTCAAAGATAAATTTGGTTAGCATTCCGATATGAAAGAGCAGTTGGTTTTGCAAATATATAATGGTGCATCTGTCATTTCTGGCCATATCTATGGTGTTCAAGCATTGGTTCGACAAGAGTATCCTTTTGCCCACTTTGTTCATTGTGCAGCTTATAGATTGAATCTGGTCCTATGTCAGTCAGCCTTAATATAATTGCATTCAGCACATTTACAAGCAATGCCCAAAAAAGAAAAGCTTTTCTCACATCTAACAACCTTGAGTTTCTAGCCCCTGGTGAAACAAGATGGTATTATCGCTCTAGATCAATCAATGAATTGCACAAAAACTCTGAAAATCTTTTACATATTTTTTAGGGGTACTTGAATAACCAGCTGGATGGGATGATGAGTCATTAAGTAAAATAAATGGCTTACTGCATTATCTTAATAGCTTTCTCTTTTGTTTTCTAGTGTGTGTTTTTTACAGGATTTTAGAACAGTCCACAATTTTGTATTCCATTCTTCAAAATAGGGAAACCCATTTTAACTATGGCATAAGCAAGATTGACAATTTCAAGCAGTTTATTGTATCACTTCGCACAGATCAAGCTTTCACCGAGTTTTACCAAACTGCACTAGAAAAAGTAGGCCCACCAGCAACCAGAGCAGATAGTAGATACAATTACAAACAGCTTTATTTTGAGATTATTGATTCCATTAAAGTGTACGATTTCAAGATATTAATCAGTTCGAGTTTTTAGACCTTGTAAATCCTAAACTATTTACTACATGGAAGGGCATAGTTCCACAGGAGAAGATCAATCTTCTCAAAGATAAGTATAGTCCTCTTTTTGACATCCAAACTTTGGAGAGTCAACTTTCCTTCATTTACAACGACAAGGACTTTCAGAAAGAGTGCAGTAATGAGGTGCTTAAATACATACACAAATTTAATCTCCAGTCGAGTTTACGTCAAGTGGTAAATTTGTTAAAATTGAATTTTGTCTTGGCAGTGGCAAGTGCTTCAGTAGAGAGATCGTTTCTTGCGTGAAAAGGGTCAAAAGCTATTTGAGGAATAGAATGAGTCAAGGTCTGCTTATCTCTTTGTGTAGAATCTCTATTCATAAAGATATCATTGAACAAAAAGGGGATTCAGAGGTTGCATCATGAGGTGGTTGAAAAATTTGTAAAAAAACTCAAAAGGCTGGCCTTACTTTATAAATGATTTGTATAGTATATGTTTTGATATTTGTTCTTATAATGCATGGTACTTCACTGAGAAAATTAAGCATTACTTTAAGTAAAAACCCATCACACTCTACCTGCCCCAATCTAAGCAAGTGTAAACTAGCAAGTGGAATGCTAAGAACAATCTCTCCCTATGCATTTTAGGAAGTCTCGTATACTATGTTATTTTTTGTGCTAATCCAAATTTCTTCTGTTATTCAGAGACAGTGATGAGTTCGATTCAATATGTTTTAGGGGAAAATTGTCTCCTGCGTAACATTTCTCTATTGTTTTTTATTAATCCCTTCCATGCTGTGTTAATTTTGCACATTGTAAATTGATGCTTGTTACAAAAAATTATTCTTAATTTTTAGTTTGAAAAATGGATTCACCTGCTAAAAAATTAAAGATTGAGGCAAACGGATCTCGTTTAAGTAAACTTTTGATAAATAAAGGAACACAAGCTTTAAAAACAACATTGCAAAGCATTATAAATCTTCAATCATCAAACTTAAACGATAAACTTAATGATCCTTCTACAAAGAGTAAATTGACATCACTAAAATTCAAAGTCATCAGAAGAGAGCAATGGAACCTTCTTTACCCGTCAACTGGTTCACCTGACATTGAAAACTTTGATATTTCATTATTGACTGTCTTATTGCGTAACATATGTGGTCTAACAGCGCCACATGGTGGATGGAATAAACTTCCTTTCTCTTCAGATTCTTCAATCTCAGCAAACATTGCAAGAATAAAGTTTTATCGTAACAAAGTGTACGGTCACATAACTACAACTAGTGTAGATGACAGTGAGTTTGAGTACTTGTGGCAGGAAATTTCAAAAGCATTGGTTGGTCTGGGTATTCAACAAACTGAAATAGATGAATTGAAAGAAGCTCGTCTCAGTCCTGATGAAGCAAATTATATTGAAATATTAAAAAACTGGTGTACTGATGCTGAGAAAACAAAAGAAGATGTGGAAGATATAAAAAATGTCGTGGAGGAAATTAAAGAAATCGTGTCAACAAAAGCTGATGTAGCTGAAATTACACAAGTGATGTCAACAAAAGCTGATGTAGCTGAAATTACACAAGTGATGTCAACAAAAGCTGATGTAGCTGAAATTTCACAAGTGATGGCAACAAAAGCTGATGTAGATGAAATTACACAAGTGATGGCAACAAAAGCTGATGTAGCAGGAGTAAAAGACATGTTGCAAGTCAAAACATGTTCAGATCTCAAGAAACTTGGAAAGTGCAATTTCAATGTTGTTATAAAAGATCTCAACAAGAAATACCTTGAAGGCACTAGAGAATGGTTATTTGAAAAACTCGACACTTGGTTTAACGATAGAAGTGAAGATGCTTTCAATGTCATGATTTTGATTGCCGGTCCAGGCGTTGGTAAAAGTGTGTTTGCTGCTGAGGTGTGTCGACGATATTCTGAAAAGAAGAAACTTGCTGCTTCTCATTTCTGCAGATATAATAGATCAGATCATAGAAATCCTCGAATCTTGATAGAGTCATTAGCTAGTAACATGTGTGATACAATATCAAAATTTAAAAGTAAACTGAATGAAGAATTACAGAGAAATAATTCCTACGAATCACTCACCGATGCATTCCGTATTTTATTAAATAGTCCATTGCATTCATTGGAAGATCATAAACCAATGCTTTTGGTTATTGATGCCTTAGATGAAAGTCAAGTTGAGGGCAAAAGTGAATTATTGGAATTGATTACTGATGAATTTGCCAGACTACCTAAATGGATTAAAATCTTCATCACCACTCGTCCAGAACTTCCTGTTCAAAAGGAGTTGAAAAGCTTGAATCCTCTGGAAATTACAACTAATACTCGTGATGAAAACAACGAAGAAGACCTGTACAAGTATTTGAGCTATCAGTTGAATGATCTTCTGCAGAGAAATCGCAACGTTCTTCAGTCATTAGTTGAAAAATGTGAGGGATCATTTCTTTACGCTTATCACGCACAACTGACCATTAAAAAGAAAAATTGAACTTACATACGAGAATCTTGAACAATTGGTTCCAAGTGAGTTGAGCAGTGTTTACACAAAGCAATTCAAAAGAGTAAAAGAATTGTTAACGAAGGAAAGTTTCAGAAATTCTGTTATCCCAGAAAAAACTTTCATGCAATTTCTTGAATTGTTGGCTGCCTGTCGGGAGTTTTTACCATTAAATTTACTGTTTAGCTATTTAGGTTTTAATGGTGAAATCGACTTTGAAGTCCGCAGAAAAATCATTGAACTATTATCTCAAATTTTTCCAGTTTACGATGACTGTTTAACCGTGTATCACAAATCTCTAATTGATTGGTTGAAATCAGATGGTTACGAACAGCATGAGTTTACAGTTAGTCCAAAAAATGGTCATAAGTTCTTATGGCATGCTTGTGAGAAAGTGTTTGAACAAATTAAGTGTATGAACATTTCAGAAGATCAGATGAACACTGCTACGATTAAATATGCTTTGAAGAATGGAGTCCACCATATGATAGAATGTGGCGAAAATGTCGACTTTAGTTGGGCAGGAGATGTCAAAGTGGTTGGTGCGAGGTTAATGGTTGTGGAAGACAATGACATGCATACCATTAGGTCTAAATTACCATTAGGTATGGTTTTCCACTTTTAACGTTATGTACTAAACTTTATAGTTTTACTGTATGCGTTTACTGAATATACTCTAAATTAGTAAATTTAAAATGTTTCATCACACCAACAAATTTTCTTCTCGAAAATTGTTATACATTTATATTGACTGTATAGTACATCTTTCAAAATACCTTTGTTTTCTAAATTTTTTCACTGCGCCATATCGAAAGTGAGATTTTTTATTCAGGTGGTTCTAAACCAGCAGCACCAACACAGTCCCGTGTATCTGAAACACCCCCTATGGTCACTCCTTCTCAATCAACATCCTCCAGAGTCCCTAGTGAACCTACTAACAATGACCCTAAGCAACCTCTCGCTTTACCAATACGTACTCCAAGAACGCGGCCAGTTCTTTCAAGAACACCTCCAGATCCTTCAAGAACAACCCTAGTTCCTCCAAGAACACCTCCAGATCCTACAAAAACACCCCCAGATCCTACAAAAACACCCCTAGTTCTTCCACGAACACCCTCAGATCCTTCAAGGACACCAACAGGTCCTCCAAGAACACCCTCAGATACTTCAAGAACACCAAAAGTTCCTCCAAGAACAACCCCAGATCCTTCAAGAACACCAACAGTTTCTCCAAGAACACAACCGGTTTCTCCAATGCCACCCAAGCGTGAGAACGATAGTAAACTTGATGAGACATTAAAAGGACTTACTTTAAAGAGAGATCAGTATAAATTGGCTGCTCGCAATTGTAACAGAAGTGGGGACAAAGAAAATGCAAAAAAATATTTGATTATATCGAAGGTGAGTTACTTCCAAAGGAACGGAAATGAAATTTAAGTGGAAGCATTGTCATGCATTCTCCACAGGTCTTTTTATGGTGTTCTACAAATACGCGAAATTGATTCCTAATCCTAATCTCTAAGCCTAATCCTTAATCTTATTGTTATAGATTGAATTAGAGCTCTATTTGTTGCATAAGTGATTATTAAAACTTTTGTTTAGGACTTTGATGTTGTCATTCAAGCTGTAAAGGATGGAAAAGATGTTGATCTCACACAATGCCCTCCCCCTCCCTTTGGATTACCAGGTAAAAGAATGATAACTGGGGGGTTGATATACAAGCTCAAAGTTCTGTTAGCTAAATATGAGTTGATGTAAAACTTTCAACGCAATTTTTTACCATAAACTTTAAATTTAATTTCATCTACTATGTCGAGCGAAAGACCGATCAGTTACGTAAAATTTTGGTGGTCAGCCGGTTACGTCAACAAAATCCAAAGCTCCTTAAGTATATCGTACCCAGACCTCTTCCACAGCTCTTCAAGTATCTGATGCCTATACCTCTTTCCTTAATTATCTTCCCTTATTTAAAAAAATCGTTACTGGTCGACATTATTCAACATTTCTTCATAGGATTTAATTTGAAAAGCCAATTTCTTGATGAACATTACAACATTAAAAAAGACGTACATGAAAAATTCAAAAGGTATGTTTAGGAAAACAAATTTCTTTGTGCCATCGTCTATGTTAGCTTTTAAATAGGACAAATGGTATATTATAGATACTTATAGGCACATTGTTTTTAATTTAGATTTTTTATCCTATTTCTGATTCTTTTTTAAAGCATATCGTGGATATGTGGCAACTATGGAACAGTTAGAAAAAACAAAGTTATATCATATCCTCATTTATATATCACAGTTGATGGTGTTGAAGAAAGGTCCGATGAAGATTTAAAGAAAGAAATTGACACGATATTTGAATGGGAAGCATCAAAATTCATTGAAATCAGGCGTAAACTTTACAAAAAACCAAAAATTCGATATTTATCAAACTTCCGCGCTGTTCAAAATCATAATGCACAAAATACAATGCAAATACCAAATGATGTTGTTTTGGAAAACCAATCAACCAGGGGCTCTCATGGTACAATGACAATGTTCTGTGGCAAAAACAATAAGTATTACGCCTTGACATGCGCACATGTTGCTTGTGGCGCTAGTGACATGGTGAACAGTGCATTGGCTTTTAACCAGAAAAAAGACTTTTGGGCCTTTCGCGATGCCGGTAAACACTTTAATGAAGGTACAGCTTATTTTTACAAACTACCAAAAACTGAGGAAGAAGTTGAGCTTCCCTCTAAAGGCGTGGTTGGTCATTTTGACGAAGAAGTTGATATTGTGAGAATTTTCATCGGTAATAAAAGTCATTTTCATAATCTTGGAGGACATGACATGGAACGTTTTGTCTTGAATTCAATCCGAGAAAATGAAAAACTTTACGAAAGAATCGATGATGGGGATGAATCTGTGAAAGTTCGTACAGATTACCATAACATTGGATTTATAAGTGAACGATGTTGTTCTCACTTGACAAAGTCTTCAAATGAAATCGAGAGAGAAATCATTTTTCAAGATGCAGTGAAGGTCAAAAGTAGTTGCCAATTTCTAAAAAATGGTGACTCTGGTGTACTTGTTTATTTTTTGAAGGAACAAGAAAATTGGCAACCATTTTCATATGGTGTATGTGAAATAGATGATGATGATGATGTTGATGATGGTAATGATGATGATGATGTTGATGAAGTTAATGATGATGATGATGTTGATGGTGGTGATGATGGTTACGATGATGGTGGTGATGATAATGGTGGTAATATTGATGATGGTGATGATGGTGGTGGTAGTGATGGTAGAAATATTGATGATGATGATGGTGGTGATGATGGTGACATGGAAGTTGTTGGTGTGGGTGATAGTGATGATGATAATGTGATATTTAAAGGTCCACCTATGAAGACCTTCATATGTTTGAAATTAGATAAAGCTTTAACTGCTGTTAAATTGGACGATTGTGAATACTTCAGATCAGAGATCGAAACAGCAATCCAATTTAATCGGAACAAGACCAAACGATAGCACAAGTTTCTACTAACATTGACAAGAAATAATAAGACATAAGATTGTTTCTGAATGTTTTCGAATTGGATCCGCTGGTAAATAAAATATCTTTTCTTCATGAATAATCATTTACTATTTTTGATATGTTTGATAAACTCATTAAGTTTAAGAAAAATATGGAAATCAGTACCTGGATTGTATTACAAATCTATGCCATTTTGCAAAAACAATCCACTATAGATAGGAAGGCTGAGGTGGGTATATAAGCAGATAGATAAGTAGATAAAAGGTAAATAGTTTAATAAAAATTGACACATGGCAGCCCATTGGCTAAATTGCATGTGGAATTTTAATCAGCAAAAGTCAACAAAAAAGTTTGGATTCTATATAACTTTAAACTGTACAAATCGTAACTTTTTTTATGCTCAAACGATAATGCTATCGTTTAGTTATCTGTAACGAAAAGTTTTGAAATCGTAAAACGTACATGTTTGGACGGGGCCATTCAATAAAAGACGAATCATATATTCATGTTACCCCTAAAAAGGCTATTAATTTCAAAGGAGCTAAATGCGGAAAAACTTGCATAAAGCTGAATGACTTCTAAAAATGCCCATAGAATGCAATATCGTATACATCTTGATCGCTTTTTCAAAAAAGATTGTTTCTGAGATGATAGTCGTTGATCGATGCAATTGACGTCACATTATTTCGGTCAGGTTTTCATTGATGTTTCGTTCATCACAAACGTCAACTTTGTTCCTTCTGAAAACGCCATTGTTGAATTGCAATAATCTTCGTATTTTTAGCAAAAATTCTTTAGCGTCCACCTATCTATTTCATACGACAGCATTTAGTCAATAAACAGATCTTTTTCTTTCAAACATGCCCTTTCCCCAAGTTTTACGTGGTCCAGCTGCGATATTCTCGTCTCAGAGGTGTTTTCTTCTTTAAGTTTGAAGGCTGCTTTATCTTCCTGGCAAATAACGAGTTTACGTAAGAATTATTTATGGTGGTGACAAAACACAGTAGAATTGATTAATATTATTAGTGTATGACACTGGATTCGGTCACAACGCAGGTCAGCGGTAATTTTCTGCCAACGTCATACATGTTTCCAACCCTCGATGTTAAATTTTCCGTCAAAATGATGGAATACTCTTCCATAGTCTTGGTGATTTATGCGGTAATGAGCTCTTGTTTTCAATTTGGTTTGCATAACTTCGAAAATTGAAGTCTTGTGGGAAAATCTTACATTTCGTCAAAATATGTACTTTCAAGCCGATGTATGAGACTGACTGAATTAATTTTGTCAGACAATGATTTCAACAGCTGAGCCGATATCTTAATGGGAAATTCCGCCATTCTTATTGTCCTACACATTTTGAATGTGGAAGTGGCATTGCTAAGTTTGTAAACAAATATCGGCTAGATATCCTAAAAATTATGTTGTAACACCATCTCTCAAATATTGACCAATAACGAATTAAATATTAAAAAGTTGCTTTAATACAAGTTTACATTCTGCTAACGTACTGAAAATTTGGTACTGAAATGGTCTCTCCTGGTGTCACCATACTCAGTTGTTATTGCTTGCAAAGCTGTCGGCCCTAGAGCGTTAATTGCTTGGGAGGGAGGGGGGAGGGATTCATACTCTCAGTTTTGCACTTTTAATTTCTTTTTGAAAAAATTTTAACTCAAGAGAAATCTACGTATGAACTTTTTTTAAAAGAAAGCAGTCCTGCCCAGGTTGCACATCTGAATATACAAGTAAATAACCCCACCCCCCGAAAAAAAACAAACAAAACAAAACAAAAAAACATCAATAAACAACACAAATAACGCTGTAGTTACGGTCCTCTTTGTTTGTATCTTTCACAGTCACATTATCTTCCAGGGAAAATGGTATTACTTGACAATTACTTAAATGAAGTTGCGTCATTATGTTTATAGGATGTTTAGAATTTTGAATTTTGTAAGATTATCGTAACTATGTTTTAAGAGACATTATCAAACAAATTACCCAAGACTCTCAAAAAATACTGCTTTTCAAAGTTGTTATGCTGTAACCCTATATGCAACTTACTGTAATGAAAAATATCTATTATTTTGCATGAATTATAATTTAGCCAATGCTAAAAACAACTATTAGAAACTAATCACTCTTTTGACAGTAACTTCCATTTGAGGCAACTAATTTGGAAATCGAAAAAATTTTGGCGGCTTCTTTTGAAACTCTTCTGCAATTCATAACAGCGCTTCTTTCCTCTCGGGCCCAGACCACTTATTTTGAAACGCATCCTTGCATCACGAAGAAAATGCAAATAATGTACCATAACACGAATCATTTGACAGCAAGGTAGTTGGTGAGCTCTCTATTATCAAAGAGTTTGCCTAGCAGGCACAAATAGGATGAATCTCTGACATTTTGAGGACAGAAATGAGGTGTTCTACATCTTAGAGAGTAGGTAAATAAGCCTGTTGTTCTTTGTTATGAGTGTATAGCCAGGGGCGGATCTAGAGTATGCCAAATCCGTCGCGCGACTGATGTTTGAAATTCAAATATTACCTATTCATATTAATTAAAAATTCATTAATTATTCTTACTTTATTATCGCATTTACTTCGTGATAAAAATCCAGTTTTATTTATTTTTGAAAACTAACGACTAATCTAATGAATATTTCGTTGGTAACCAGATCAGTTGAATTTTAATTGACCTGGAATAACCGACTGATAAGCGGGGTGGCTTGACTGGTTCGACTGATAAAGGAGTCTATGAACGCCAAAAACGCTTATTTTAATGGTCAATGGCCAGATCAGTGGACAGTCTGGAATAGTCTCGACCGATAAGAGGGATGGCCGGACGTATAAGGGAGTCCAATTGCTATCTTACAATTGGTTCATTTGAATTTTTGTTTTATTGTGATTGGTTTGACGGATTTCGACTGATAGCCAACTGAATTAACATAGTCAAGCTCACTGTCTGAATTAAATGTTTCATCGTTTCATAGTAATTTTTATAAGCATGATAGAAACTAAACTACAATCAGATGGAATTTATGGAAATCTTTTTCAAATTTATATATGGACATGAATGCTGCTGTCCAAACTGTGAATTTTTTCAAGAGGGTGAAAAATTTGGAATTCACACTCGGACATCTAGCAAAAGTAGGCGCATTCTGAAACTTCTTACGAAGATGATTTCCAACACCTGAGGTTTATTTTTCGTATTGCGTGGATTGTGCGTGTATGTGCGCGATAAAATATCGCTGCTTATAATTTAAATATAAACAACAGATAGACAAATGGTCGTGGTATTTTGAACAGACTATTGATCTATCCAAACTTAAAGGTAAGCGCAGTATATTGTGATATAATATACATTAATAATATTGACATGTTATTCGACATAGTTGCATTCAAGTAAACAAAGACAAATGGTCTCCTGTGATTCTTAATCATTATTGTGATCAACAAAATGGTAATGTATAGCAGTGTAGAATTTAAAAATTTTATACCATTACACATTTATTTAACTTTAAATGTGTTGAAACCCGAAAGCATAAAGCAAATTAAAGCACAATTTATTTTGAACTTATTTTGCCCACTCGTATAACGTATTTGAGCTCCCCATCACTTGTTCCACAGTATAAGCCCATCTAAATCAACTGGACATTATTACAGTACTTCTTATATTAAAGAATATGACAACATTCAGGTTTCATATAACAATTTGATCTGGACAACAGAAATAAGGAAACATATCGATCAATATAGATTAGTTATATTTTGAGAAAAAAAAATACAAACCTGTGTTCCCAAATCCTTTTTTTGCTTTATTTCCACAAAAATTAGTTGTGCTTGCCACCTCGTACTCTCTAAGGAGACTTTCTGTTTCCTCTACATTTTGCACAAGTCCAGAGCGTTCAGACAGTTTGATTTTAAATAAAGAGGTCGCTGCTGCAATGTCAATACGTTCCATATGTGTAAAAATATGTGCTTGTTCTTATAAGAACAGTTTACCAGCGGAAACATAAACAGAAGTTTAACTTCGTTTGTATTGTGTGGTGATGTACAATATGCAGAGACTGTTTACTATTTTAAATTATTTCCATTTTCCTGCAATAAGTTTTAAATTGCCGCGAATTAAAGCTTTACACGCAAAATTATCAGGCAGAGTTCGCGCAATACGAAAAATAAGCCTCGGTTGTCGGAAATCATCTTCGTAGGAAGTTTCCGAATGCGCCTACTTTATCTAGATGTCCGAGTGTGAATTCCGAAAAATGTATGGATAAATTGTAAATGTTTGGCAAAGACAATCTCGCGAGCGACATTTCAGTCATTGATGTTCAAAAGAAAGCCAACATTGTTTTGAGTTTTATCAGCAGAAATTTACATCCAAAATCGTAAGTAAAGGACAACTGTAGTGTATGCATGAATGTAATATATCAAAGTCAATTTATGCGAGTGTGTGATGCGATTTATGTTAATATGGCGTCTGGTAAGCAGATTGATGCTTCTAAAATTGTTGTTGCCGAAGGACTTTTAGCTATGATTTCTTCAGTGCTTGGGGAATCGTGGCCATTATATGTCAGCGAAATCCTACATTCCTGCAAATATATTTCAATGGACAAAAAATCTGTAGCCATAAGGCGCCATACTTTTATTTACTTTATCATAAACAAATGTTTGGGGCTTTTCAGTTTATGATCATTGATCATTCAATCATTGGACAGTTATACTACATATTGTTTAAGATTTGAGAAAACTAACATTGATTACATGAGAAGCTGTTTACTATAACCTGTGATTTTGAGTCTTCTGATCTATGAAGCTTTTTATTTTGACAATTTGACTGGAATGGTATTAAACCTAAGTATTTCAAATAAATGAAATGTTGCCACATGTCACATATTGTCCCCTTTTCTAACTGAACACCTCATGTAGAGATGTAAAGGTGTGTTAATCTACGGCTCATACCAAATTGTTTGCCATAAATTCCAAAGGGCTATTTATGTATGAAAAGCATTTTCTATAAAGTAAAAATGTCTTCCTATGTATGCAGATATTTGGCAAAACAGCAAAGTATTTTTCATGATCACTAGGTAATTTTTCTGATGAT